TTGGGTGTGGATTTCCCCCACGCTTCTCACTTTGGAATAGCAAATCGTTGAAATCACCTATCACAACCCATGGTAGTTGTGATCGGTTCGCCAAGGTCCGTAACAAATTCCAGGCCTCTTGCCGCCTACTACGCTCCGAAAAGCCATAATAACCAGTCATACGCCACGGTGCACTTCCCGGTATAGCTACTTCAACATCTACATAATTTGTTGAGTAACTAAGTAACTTTGCCATATTATTCTTGCGCCATAGCAAAGCCAATCCACCACTCAAACCGTTTCTGTCTACATAGAACAAACCTTCATACCCTATCTTAACCCGAAGTCTCTCCGCATGACTCCGCCCCACCTTCGTCTCCATTAAAAATACAAACTCTAGCTTCTTACTGGACACCCAGTCCACTATCTGTTGAACTGTTCGTGGATTGCCCAAGCCACGACAGTTCCAACTTAGGGTACTCATTGGGACGGGCGGGGCTGCGATCCAGCTCCCGCCACAAACATGTTTTCTGAGAGATCCATCATAGCCACATCACCATTACCTCCTCCAACCCGCCTCCCCTCCTCCACTCCATACCCCTCCCTACGCCTCTTAGCAACCGCTTCTAGCACCAAACCTGCCCCGTTATCACTACTGTTCGGGAAGGCCGAACTAGCCACCCCGGACTGCCCTACGGCCAGCTCCTCATCCTGAGGCAGCTGTTCCTCCACCGGCGTCAACCAATGCTCCCTATCTGCTCTCGGTCCTCTTTTTATCCCCGCCCGAAGTTCTGCAGAGTAAGGGTATTCTTCTACCGGTAAAACCGAGTCCCTAGCCATCCGACAAAATTTGTACAAATGACCTAGTTTTCCACAGTAAAATCAAAAATTGTGTAGGCGCTCATACTTGAAAGACACCCAACACGTAGATTTATCCCTTTTAACAAAATTTAGCCTTCGTTTCAACGGCTTGTCGACCGGTATTGCAACACGGATCCGGTAAAAAACTTTCCAAGGTGTTCCTGCGAACCTGTCATCCCTTTTTTTAAAAGTGCCCAAATAGTTACCAATCTGTTCTAGGATTTTGTCAGATGTATATCCCATTGGTAAGCCATGAACCTGTATCCACATTTGTACCGTATCAAGCTTAACATCGTCCCGAAAACCCCCTTCCACAAGCTGATCACATACCAATGTTGCATTCTCGAATGCCCACGGACCATCTTTTGGAACTCTCTGTAAATCAGTAACATGGTGAAAGGTAAACAAGAATAACCGGGGCTTTATCTCCGAAACCTGCATGCCCGCGACCGGCTGCCATGCTGCCGCCATCACCTGCCATGCTGCGTCAGGAATCTCCCCAACAACAGCCACCGCTAAGCCTTCTCACCCGCAGCAACTTCGTCGTGATCCAATTCAGGCGCAAAGGGTGCGGCCTCTTCCTCTTCAATCGCCAAGTCCGCCCACCTCGCCGTTATCGCCGCCACTGCTCCTCCTGTACGTTGTTCCGCCATTATGCCGACCAGACACACGCCGAACAGATTAATCAGATCGGAAACCGGTACGTACTACCGGAGATGATTGTCGATGAATCGTGAAAACCACGGAAACCCTAGGAGTAGAATCTTGAAAACCCTAGAGAGCTAGAGAGAGAATTTAGAAATTCGTTGCACGAACTATTATTAATTTAACAAATTTACCAATTAAATTTTTGACATCCTCTGAATGAACAAAGAATGTAATGGTTCCGTGAAATTGATCTTAAATAGCTCAATACACAATAAAAGATTATACATGCAGGGTTGTCACAATCCTTATACCATGGATCAGGGTTCACAATGCATTGTGGACCCTAGTGCATGTGTAATTGTGTATATGTTTTATATTGTGAGTTTTTATGTCTTGTCCTATGATATTCTGTACCTTAAAAATATGAATTATGTACCTGAAACAAATTAATAATTGTGTCTTATATTATGATTTTTTGTGTCACATGTGTTGTGAAATTATATGTCTATGAACATAAATTATGTACCTAAATCAAATTTGAAAAATAAGTAAATATCTAACATGTGTTATGACATTTTTTACTTTACGAGTATAAATTCTGTATTTCGTTGTTTCAATTCAGTGTCTATAATACTATATGAACCCTGATCTCGCGAAGGGAACTGCTTGTATTAAATGAGGAAAGAGATCTCGCGAAATCTGCTTATTCTCGCCTTTAATTTGGATGAGCACCCGGTCGGGAACGCCATGACTGCCTCAGAGTTGACCCGAGGAGGGGCCGCGATACTCGGACAAGGACACACCGACCGCTGAGCCTGGTCGCCCAGCTGAGTCCCCGAGCGATACCCAGTCGAGGACGCACTGCTTACTGAGCCTGGTCGCCCATTCAAATCCTGGGAGGGGATCCGGTCGGGGAAACGCCGACTACCGAGACTGGTCACCCAACCGAGTCACATGTGTGAACCCACCCCGAGGACGCCCCGGCTACAGAGCCTGGTCGCTTCACCTGAGCCGGCCAACTTTCGTTCGGGTATGTGCCCATCAGATGGACGACTGATTGCCGGGGATGAGGGGTTACAATCTCCCCGGCATTTCACGTGACGAACGGGAATCATGAGTGTCGTCTAATTTGCTAAGTATCAGGCCACGCTCGAACCTGACTGTTATGTCTAATACTCCAGATCGGGTGTCTGATTTGGGGGTATCTATTATACCAAATACATTTTTAATATATTAAAAATACATTATTCGTATACTATGTACATTATATAAAATAATATACTTTTAGTACTTAAATAATGTACTTTCCCTGAATACAATAATCAATATACATTTTTAATATACTAAAAATACATTATTTATGTATAGGATATACATTATTTGATAATATGATCATACAACTGTGAATGATTGATAATATAATGTCCCCTCCCTCACTTATTGGGCATAGGGGTTATATTATTTGTAATGTCAAAAGTATTAAACTGAGTGCATTATTTTATTGGGCTATACAAAATGTATACCAAGTGCATTTAATAAATGAAGTAATATAATGTCACATCCCACATGCATATGTCGTGTATTGTTTGACTATACTTTCCATCGAAGTTAATGCCACAATTATAAAACAAAACATCATGCTTTTCTCCCAAAAGGTTGATTCTCCAGCCCTAAGGACTCTCATATTCCGGTCCGACAAAGTATTTAGAAGGATGTAAATTACGATGATTTAATGATTCAGCAGACAGAGTCAAATGTCGGTATAGACAAAGAATTTACCTACTTTAAATATAATTTCCACACTATCGCCGTCGAGGTTCGAAAAAAAAAAAAACATCATGTTTCTAATAGAACTCTTTTTAAACCTTTTTGGTCGTCAATACTCAACAAATCCATAAATTTCGACATTATTCTCACCAAAAATAATAATAAATTTCGACATTATACTATAGCACAAAATATGCTTACCCTTTGCACGACTTAAGGGCTCAAGCATATATAATAAAATCCAGAAATTATGGACTATAACTAGTTGAATTAATTAATCAGATGTTCCTTTCAAAAAATTAATTAGATGTTACTCGGCTAGTATATTGTATGTCAGAAAAATATTTAAAATAGCCATCAAACTGAACAAGGTCATTGAACCCAAAAATGTGTAATTATATTAGACCTATTGACTATTCAAATTCTCCAATTATACCAAAAGAGTAGGTGAATGACCTCTATTAAATCCCAAATCCCTCAAATCACTTATAGGGCTAGGTTTGGTTCGCGGAGCATATTTGAAGGAAAGTGAAATTGGAATTTCATGGAAAAACAATTACTAGGAAGATGAATTTCATTGTTTGGTTGGTGGAAAAAGAATTACTGGGAATATTAATTTTATTGTTTGGTTAGATTTGGAATTGTAAGGAATAATGAGTATAAAGACTTATATGTCCATACAAACTAATAAAAGTAATATAATTAAAAAAGAAAGCAAGAGTAAAATAGGCAATCTATTCACTTTTTCTTCCCATCTTCCATGGAAAACAAAATCCTTAGTCCAACCAAGGATTTTGTTTTCCTCAAATTTGAGGAATTCATTTTACAATAGAAAATAAATTCCATGAACCAAACACTACAAAACAACATTTTCCTTCACTTTAAGGAAAATGTTTTTCTTTGGAAAATATTTTCCATGAACCAAACATCCCCTTAATCTTGTCAGAACATTCGACGACGTTGAACAAAATACGAATCTTAACTCATTTTTTTATCAGTACTGAACACATTTGGACGAAGAAACATAGCTATATTTACTTGTATCAGGTATGCTATATGTTGAATGAGTTGATAAATATTCTTGGCCGGGTTTGATTTGCATGTATATGTTTTGGATTTTGGATTCTTTTATGTATTTAATAATAGCGACAATGATGGGTGTTGTGTGTTTTCCTTTGTCCTTGTGCTATTGCATTTGTGATTTTTATTTGGGAAAAGGGTCAAATAGGCCCTTGAACTTTAGTTTAAAAGTCAATTAGGTCCTTAAACTTTTTAAAGGTGCAATTACACCCATCAATAATTCATTTAAGTGTAATGAAGTCTAAAAACAAGTTAATGACCTGCTATTACAGATAATTAGGGTTCAGGCCACCTTTCGGCGAATTTTTCGACAAAAAAAATGTGACCAGCAACTGACCCAGATTTACCTGTAATAGCAGGTCATTAATTTGTTTTTGGACTTCATTGCACTTAAATGAATTGTTGATGGGTGTAATTGCACCTTTAAAAAGTTTAGAGGTCTAATTGACTTTTAAGCTAAAGTTCGAGGGCTTATTTGACCATTTTTCTTTTTTATTTTGGTGTATATATCAGCAACTCAAACCCTTATTGATATATGTTGAAAATTACAATTAATAACAAAAGTACAATTTTATTTTCTTAAATCAATACATTTTGGAGAAAGTCTCCGGCCAACAATCACCTAGTCACCTGGTGGGGGTGGGAGGCGAATTGGAGAATGAGATGGTCAATGATTGGGGTGGAAACCGGCGTCCACTACCAAATTATGGCCGGTCACAAACTTCGAGTCGTCACAAGCCAAGAACAACACTGCATCTGCTACATTTTTGGGCTTGAGAAACTCCCCATTTTTCAGCACATTAAACGGCTCGAAAACCTTGTCGATCTCCTCTTCCGGCATGTTCATCGACGTGCACAGCAACGGCGTCGCCACCGCCGACGGCGACACGCAATTCACCCGGATCCCATGCTTCCCCAGCCCTATGCTGGCCGACCTGACCAGCCCCAACACCGCGTGCTTCGACATCGCGTAGTCGATCTTCAGCGCCGTCCCGAACGTCGCCGTCACGCTGGCGGTGCAAATCACGCAGCCCTTCACGCCGCCGTCCACCATCGCGCGCGCCGCGTGCTTCACCATCGCCGCCGTCCCGCGCACGTTCACGGCGAAGAGGCTGTCGGACGCGTCGAGGTCGAGGTTGAGGATGTCTTGGTCCTGGCCGGATATCACCCCCGCGCAGCACACCACGACGTGGACTTGGCCGTGAGCCTCGACGGTGGCTTTCACGAGGGACTCCACTTGTTGCTCGTCGCTCACGTCGCACTTCACGAAGTGATGATGAGACGACGATGACCCGCCGCCACCGATTGATTCCGCCACTTCCCGCCCCTTTTCTTCTTGAATGTCGGCGATCACCACCTTGGCGCCATGCTCCGCGAAGAGGCGGGCGGTGGCCTCCCCCAAACCACTGGCTCCTCCGGTGATGATCGCAACTTTTCCGGCCAGTTTCTTCTCGCTGCTTTTATGCTCACTTGCCATGGTAGTAGTGAAATGCCAATCACTCTTAATTAATAACACCGCCCCGGCCCGTGCAGTTAGTT